CTTCTTTCCTTGCTGCCTTTCAAATGAATTTAGCTCCATTCTTTCTTTTTTTTTTTTTTTTACAATTTTAGTTTTGCTATTTCATTTACATTTATGGTTGGTGATCTATTCTTATTCCGGTACTATCTCTGTGTTAGCTTTGGTCCATATACTCTGCCGGTAATACAGTCCCAATTCCATTTTTGAGGGCGACAGATATATCGCCAATTGCACTTTTGTCGGACAACGTCCTCGGAGGATGGCAGCAGGAGAGTGGTGGAATCGTAGCTATAGAAGCAATGCAGGAGCTTTTTACTGGTGACGCTCAACCTAAAAAGGGTAGAAGTAGACAAAACGAGGTGACGTACTCTTTCTCCTCAGTTATCTCTTTGATATGATTTCTTATCCCTGTTTTAATGTAATGCCGTTGTGCGATACAGGTGCCCCTTCCTCCAAGTGTATATCAAAGGCTTACTTCAAGTCCAACTCTAATGAATCTCGCTCAGGCATTGGCGTACCACAAAATGTAGGACTTCCTTTTCACCCCAAAAATGGAATACAGTTCTCTCTAATAGTCTTGCGAAAGTGGTGGTGTAAATGGGGCCTAGCCGACTAGCGCAAGCTTTGCTTCACTTTCAGAAATGATGTACTTCATAATTCGGATATTTTACGGACTCAAATGATGTACATTTACTCAGATTTTTTTTGTTCCAGGTGCTATGAAGAGATGCCACTTCAGGAAATGCAAGCAGCACAAGAGCAGCAGACCATTCAAAACCTTTCTGATACACTTCGAACTATTTTAAGATTATGAGTTTTCTAGTTTTTTTACATAAATGTACATCGAATGCATGTCTACTATTCTGAACGCATAAAAAGACAATTCGAGAAGTTTGGTACATAGGTTTTTTTTGTTTTTTTATTTTTTTTATTTTTCGGGTCTTCCCTCTTTACAAAGCATTATCTGTTGCTATTTATTGCTATTACACAATTATTACTGTCTAATGGAAATTGGTGGCTGTATCAGATTTGGGACGAAAGAGTACGCCAATTCATTCCATCCAGGGCCATCCCTCGTAGTCGTAGCTTACCTATTCTCCCAATGCAATCTGTCTTTGTAGGGGCTCATCATCAGGAATTTAGGTTAAACTTAAAATAAGAGAAGTGAAAAGAGGGAGATGCGCCAGAGATTTTAGAGGCGTGACTTCCTCGATCACGAATTGTGGTGTTATTAATTTTTAATTTCAGAAACATAGACACATTTGACATGTGAAGGACACATTGCATCTTTTATTTTAACCTTTGATTGTCATAAAGACAGATTATACATGCGACGTCACAGGGAAAAAAAAAAAAATATAGTGCATGTTTGGTAGTGAATTTTTATTTTTATTTTTTTCAAAAAATCAATTTTTTGATAGTTAATTTCACTATTCCAACTGTCAATTTTGACTTCCTTCCCTCACAGGTAAGATTCACTTTTCTCAGTAACGATTAAAATCAATTCTCAAAATTATTACCGAACAAGTTTATAGACAATGTTTAAGGATATTTTTAAGAGATTCTTTAAATATAAAATACTCTATTTTAAAGGGTCAATGTTTAAAAACGAACTCCAAGAAATTCTCTATTTTAACTTTTTAAAGTAGAGAGTGTGTTTGACTTTTCAAATTTAAATAGTCAAATTCACTCTCTATTTTTAATGTACAATAATTTCATTTAATACATTACAAATTTCAATACTCTACAATTTAAATTTTTCAAATTATATTTGAATTAATTGTTCATATATATATATATGAATAAAATGTGGAGAAATTATTAAATATTCATTAAAAAATACAAAATAAAGAATCAAAATAGAAAGTTTGTTGGGATTTATAAAAAAAAATTACTATCTAAATTTAAATATGTTTTCTATTATGCATAATATACTATTTATAAATAAAGAGTCTTTTGGAGATATTTTAAAGCACCCAAGATTTAAAAGTTCTATTAGAAGAAGTGATTAAACGAAATTAATATATATATATTAATTTTAAGAAAACAACTCATTATCTATTTATTAGATATTAATGTCACATAGACATGAAGTCTTCCAGCTAGGATGCTACTTAGACACTAATTCATTAGTGTGCATTAGAGATGCTGTTGTTTCTAGAGTTTGAATTCACTCCTTCGAAAACAATCGGACAGAATTACCTGAATGCAGGAATTGATCAACAGGATCAGAAATTGTAATTCGAGCCCACCGACTTCACGATGTGTCCTTAAAACGAATTTGCTGCCTTCAATGGTGCTAAAGGCGTCCAGCAATCGTTTCCCAGGATAGAACGAATTTTTCGTCTCCTACGGAAGCAGCACTGCAGTCTGTAGGAGTTCCAACGAACTCAACGAAGTGTTTTTGACTTCGAGACAATATCAGAACGAGAGAGAGGGAAATGAGATTCAAAGCACAGAAAGTTTGCAATGAAAATGGTGTAAATTTTCTGGTAGAAAGGCTGGCTATTTATAGACTTGTTCGTGGCCATTCGAACAGTCATCACCTTTCAGACAAGTCTCAAAAATCCGAACAAACATACTGTTCTTAAAACTCGTGTCTGTTAAGTCGGTTAACAGTCGACTGTTTGGTCGGTAAACAGTCGACTGTTTGGTCGGTAAACAGTCGAAACAGTCGACTGTTACAAGAAAATAAAACACCCGGAATAAGCCAAAATTTAAATAAATTTTGTACCCAAGAATTTGATTATTTACAATTTGGCCCAAAATTTTAAATAAATTTTGTCCAAAAAGTTAATATAGTGTAAAGGTCGACCCGGAC